ATATGCTGGAGCATTGTCAGTTTTTATATGTGCAGGTATACCCATAACTGCCATCACCTCTAGCAGGTGTGTAATGACAGAATCGGCTTTTTCAGAGTTAAGAGCAGTAGCTCATTGGAACCCTGAGAATTTGTCTATAGAATGATGCATGCACATATTTCAAATTTCCAAACTCTGCAAAGTGAAAGACATCCATCTGCCAAACCTCATTTCTCCGAATGACCTTAGGATTACAACCTGCTGGCAATGGAGTTTGATTTTAAAAGGAACAAGTAGGACAGTTTTTCACTATCTCCTTGGCTTGTTGCCAAGTGAGGGAGAAGTCCTTTTTCAAACCTTTGCTATTTACGTGATGCTTCTTATGAAATTCTGAGGCTTCTAGTACACTTCCAATTAATAAACAATCAATCTCATCATTGCCTTGTACTAGTGGGCCTGGCAGACCCATATGGGATCTGATATGTGTAATGAATATAGGAATACTTCTGTTTCTGACAGTTTCTTGTAATTGTAAAAACAGAGAAGTTAATTCTGTATCATCAGGAATGAATTCTGCAGTCCCAATGTGTAACATGACTCTCTCTGCATATTGAGAATTGGTAACTATAAGAGGTTCTGTAAAATCCTTAAGTACCACGAGAATTGCATATAATTCTGCCTTCTGTACAGATGTATATGCACTTTGAACTACTTTACTTACCTCACCTGCTTTGTAGCCTGCCTTACTTGATTTGTTGGCATCAGTGTAGAATGTAAGAACTCCAGAAATGGGATATTGTCTTACAATACATGGAAGAATCCAGACTGTCTTTTTTATGAATTTAATTCTGTCAGTTTTGGGATAATTGTTGCTAATTGTTCACAAAAAGTCAGTAAGAGCTATTTGCCAATATTCATTATCTTTCCACAAGGAAGAAATTTCTTCATTAGTTAAAGGTACTATAATTTCTGCTGGATCTTTTCCAGTCAGTTGACGAAGTCTTAATTTTCCCTTTAAATTCAAATCAGAAATCTTTTCTATATATGTCTTTAACTTTTTATTCTGTTTATGTG